TGTACTAACAACTTCTCCTCTCCCCTTTTTACCAACCTTTACTACACAAATTATCCTTATCACGTAATTCGTATCGAAGAAACGCAAATTTCCTTCAAAAAAAAAAATCACTCTCCTCGCAAAAATACTTTTTCTCTCGCGATACAGAATCCTTTGTTCGAGAGAAAGAATTTTAATTTTCCGAATGGTTTTCCATTCGTCGAATTCTTTCGATCCCCTCTTTTTCCACGCTCGTGGATTCGTAATTTCTCCTCTTTCATAAAGGTATAATTGAGAGAACGGCTCCTTGAAGGGAGGCGGCGACAAAGCTTCGATCAGAATTTTTCGAGGGGCGGTAATAACACGCGTGGTCCACCCCTAATTGCCGGAACCAAGGATAAAAGGAGGAATCGATACGGGTCTCTCCCGTAATTAGCACGAGTTAGCCGGCAGCAGAGAAGTTAAGAGAATAGAGATATTATCCACTTTGATCAACAGCAGAGACGGCGCCATATTTTCATCCTTGACCAAATCGAGGATTCGTTTTATCGAGCTTCGGTTCTGGAATTTTAATCGTGAGGGGGCAGCTCATAACTCGATGTGAAAATTTACGACGGTCTCGAGGATTTGGAGCATGGATTGGAGATGGAAGAAAAGGAAGAGACGTTATTATTATTCTAAATTGGCTGGTCGAAAATGGCTGATTTATTATAATAATTCTATCGCGAAGGAAAATGAATTATAAATATAAATCAAGTTTTTCTTTCTGCTTTCGGTTTGGAAAAGGAACCAACAATTCGATACAATTGACTGGTTAACGAGCGGCGTTACGATGATGAAATTATCGTCCCGCCTTCCCAGTTAATTGCCAAATTTCTAGGGTAGATCGAGGCTCGTGACGAGCTTAGCTTAGGGTGGCAAGTAAATTACCCTCGATAATTCCTTGGAAAGGAAAATAAGACTTTTCCTTTTCCCTTTTCAATACCTTGAAATTCACAGCGAAGAAAGAAGAAACCTGTTTTGCGGTAACCGCGATGATAATCATCATCCCCCTCTCGCTGCTTCTTCATCCCCCCCCGGTTTGATTAAAACTTGCCGGGCAAGAAATTACATTTTAATTATACACGGTTTATCAGCAAGCGCGTTTCACGCTCCGAAACACGGCGTGTATTTAATGGCGTGTAATCTACGCCCAATTTTCTAACCCCCGTTCGTTCCTCCGCGTCTATTCTTGAAAAAAAGATATTCGTATATTTTTCACGTATCTTCGACTCCAAAAAAGAAAATGTCGTCGAAAATGTTACGTACAAACTTGCATAAACGTGTAGAGAATATTGATGATGCAGATATATATATATATATATTTACACTTCCCTCCCTTCTTGTCTCGGCGCATTCAAGCCCCGAGTGACAGGTTTGTCGCGGGATGATGGATCGAACGAAATGGATTCGTGACGTTCTTTACGCGTTACGCGAGACAAATCCACCACAGATCCCTCCTCCACCATGAATCGCGCCTCGAGTCGTCGCGGAATCGTCGTGAAACATCATCGTGAGTCATTGATCCGAGGCTGCCGGTGTTCCGTAATCACGGAGCAGGGGGAGGGG